CCAATCCACGGGCAATACTCTAAACAGCCAGCTACACGTTTATGGCTCAAAGGCTTTGAAGGCATACCACTGCAGAACTACTAACTTACTCGTCGTACACATAAACAGCCTTCGCAGCTTTTCCGCATTTATGCCATGTCGCAAGCACCTCAAACGAGCTCCCACACGACATCGCTGAAGAACGCATGGGTTTTGGTTTTACAAGGGAATGGCAGTAAGGATGGTGATGCAGGCTTATGGACAAAAGGGGACAGCTTGCAAAGTCAAGCCTTTGCCGCGCTCCACAATGGCATCTGCTCAATCTTCCACAGCATACCCCGCCGTCTATGCACACGTACTCTCTGAAGCACAAAATACAAGAATAGTGAGCTTGTAGAGTATCTTCCGTCGAGCACCTGCTGCCTATACCGCTTTTCCCTGATCAGCGGTCCACCCCAGTTTCGTCTTCAAAAGCTGCTGGCGCAGTTTGTGAACCAGTATTGTTAATACGAGAGAGCAACGACACGCGCGCGCAACTGCTCACACAACTCCACAACCCATGTCCTAGACCCCCGTTGCCGCCTCATACTCAAGGCATAGTTTGCGACTGTGGTTACAGACGACAATCGGTCAAGAAACGTATGCCTGACGCGCCCGCAGACCTCATCAATAGGTGAATAACTTCTCCGAAGTGCAAGCATTGTTGAACGATAAAACAGCTGCCACCCTCCTCTTCACGTAGTATTCACAACGCGCCTCGAAAACGCCATCCAACTGTCTGTGCCACACCCCATAGTCCTTTGCTCCAGGAGCTACAGCACCCAGCGCACTTTCCGAGGCGTTCGACACCCAGCCAAACTTGTTGTCCAATGTCCTGCACGTGTGCTAAATAAGGAAAGAGCCTGACAAATTCACCCTGGCCTGACTGGTAGATAGATTGACCGCCGGGTGAGTCCGCACTTTTACGCAAAGTCCTGAGGCATGCAGTGAGCTGTGAGTCGCCTCCATTACAGCTGGTACGTCCAAGAATCTTAGAACGTGCACAACTGTAAAACCACTAGTCCATCTGCTGTCGCAACAACACACACACTGCCGTCCCTGGGCTCGCTGTTTCATGCCGCATGCAACTACAACACTAGGCGTCTGCTGAGAATTTACCACTCGCCCTCCTTGCCAGTAGTTCTGAGGAATTTTTTGTTCGTACACAGCGAAGCTCATCTCCCACGAACCACCATACACCGAACCACAAGGATTGCCCCTGCGCCTTTTTTTCATACAATTCGAACTCACCCCCTGCACAACGGCATGCTAATTCAGGGTAGCAGCCCTTGCAACTGATCCCCCTCACATTCACACAGGGAAATTCCATCTATTTCCGAAGCAGCCCTTGCAACTGATGCGCCTCACATTCATACAACAAAATGACTGTTTTCCTTATCCACAATGCTAGAACTTCGGAGAAAGAATTCACTTAAAACTGCTGCTACGCTCCGCTTCCCCCAATACTAGCAGCGCCGTGCCAACACACCATCCAACTGCCTCAGCCACACCACCGCACCCTGTGCACCAGTAGCAGCAGCCCTGTGAACCTCTGCTAAGCAGTTCGCCACCCTGTTAACCGAGTCCTGCACTGCGCTGTACACTTCCTGAACAACTGGCAGGCATCACACGAGAAACGCACTCCACCTTTGTTTACACGCAAGCTATTCCTCCCGTTAACAAGCTCTTCTTTGCTCATCCACGGCAAATGCACTCGACAACATCTAATGTCTTCACCATGAATGTATCCAACCGCTTTGGGTGAGGCACAATTGCAAGCCTTCCTTCGGACACTTGAGTGGTCGTCCTCATGCAGCGCATTGCCGTGCCCAACTGCGGAAACAAGCATCTGCCAGAACTCTCAGCAGTTGCTGGTGTTAACACCGTTCTGTCCTCATGCTTGTACAGGAAACCTTCCTCCTTGTCATGTCATCCAAACCTACCTCCTGCGGACTCGAATGCGAATGCAAACTATTCCGGAGTGCATTGAACTGCGAATGCCACTCTCAGACTACAACTACACAACCCATCTCCTACTCCAGCCTAGCCAGCTCCAACCGCCGGTGGAGGCTATCAAACTGTGGTGTGCGGCCAATGCAAGCGGTTGAATATTGCACACGCATGCGAAGCCAAGTCCGTTTGCTACGTGTGCAGAGCAAATAGCATGCCGGTGGAAGCAATCCGAAACCACTGTGCGAACGCGCTGGCATCAGAACTTGCACCCATCTCCTTGGCAAACGTCTTGCCACACACTGAAAGTTCAGCGGAAATCAAAACTGGATGGCCCTGAAAAGTGGAAGTGGACAATATAAGCAAACATTGCATAAAGGATATCGGTGAATATATTCCCAAAGTAACATCTGGAGACTCGGGCTGCTCCTCTTCTGTACCGGCCTACAGAGAGCCATCCAGGTGTTGTCTACGAGCTAACCTCCAACCTCTGCGCTGATGCTCTACAACCAGCTTGTAAAACCAGCCCGCCCTTTCGCTCACCTTCCACTGCCACCCTTTATGTCGGGCACGTACGGGCGGCTCACACGACTGATGACAAACAAGATCGATATCGGTGAATATATTCCCAAAGTAACATCTGGAGACTCGGGCTGCTCCTCTTCTGTACCGGCCTACAGAGAGCCATCCAGGTGTTGTCTACGAGCTAACCTCCAACCTCTGCGCTGATGCTCTACAACCAGCTTGTAAAACCAGCCCGCCCTTTCGCTCACCTTCCACTGCCACCCTTTATGTCGGGCACGTACGGGCGGCTCACACGACTGATGACAAACAAGATCTCCCTGATGGAGTGTTCCACGTCGGTACTACTGCCCCACTACAGGAGAGCAATGGTAGTTCGTGCAAAGTGTTCGTTTGGAAGCGGACCTTCGGGTAGATCTCGCCCGTGAACGACTCGCATCACCCGTGCAGTTCTACTATTATAACACAAAGTAGTCACGGATATGTGTGTAATCACAGAACATGGTGATTCTGTCTTCTGCGAGGATACGCATGCAATCATGGCAAGAAGCAAGGCAACCATACGGGACACCCCCCCGGCTCGACACTGGCGGCCCGTTGATTACTTACGGAACACAGATTTTCGTCTCCGGATGCAAGTCTTCGTGATACCAGTAAGCTTTCATTCTTTCTACTGGATGATATGGCAATGAAACAGCGCATGATGAGGAATCCCATGACAAAAGCTATTGCCAAGGTGGAGATTGTAGTGAAACACGGATTTTCGCGCCGTATATTTCGCATGAAGGTGGCGATGGAACGAACAGGTTGTTCAGTGGCTAAATTGGTTTTCTGGGAAATCAATTCGTCCTGCGGTTCATCTGGACCGGCGATTACAATTGTAATGGGGAGTGCAGAAAAGAGGGCGAGCAGCTTAGAGGGGCACATTTTTGAAGGGAAGAACAATAGAGTCCTCTGTGTCACGGAGAATGCAAACTCAAATGTAGAAATTGTCAAATATTCGGGCAAATATTGCAAACTTAGTAGACGTGGTGATGGGTAATGAATTCAGTATTCGTCTCAGGTGGACAGGCTGCTCGGGCAAATAGTCAGCGCAGGTCGGGCGCTTGCACCGAAACGAGAATACGGCATGGCGAGCTTGTCGAATTGACCTTCCAGTTAAACTCAAGATGAGCCTTTCATCAAAAAAGTTGTACATTATTAGGAATAATTTGCGCTCTACAAGAAAACACTAGGTGCTCACAAAATATTTAAATATACCTCATCCAGCTCCGTCGGTATAACGGAAAGAATGTGCAAGCGCATTGGTGCTGGTGCACGAAGTGCCGTGCACTTCTGCTGCAGCCGACTACCAAGAAGGATTGCCCTAGAAGGCAAAGAATAAAGTCACGTTTTTTCGGAGCTGATTTGAGTCAGCCTAACCTCGTCAATGGGTCGAGAGTGAGTGATCTCTGGGTTATATCCAAACGCCTACCTCCGTGAGTTAGTTGTGCATGCACTGCTGCTCCACCCAACTCGCGTACGGTTGTTCAAAAACGGATCCGTACCTACGGAGTCGCCTGAAGTTTGCACGAACCTGCAACTAACACTATTCACCGCGTCATTTGAACTTCATGCCAAGTGGTGGGAGAGTCGGCGAATGCAACCGGCATGCAGGCTATCTAACAGCAGACTACGACGACGCCCATCTGCACGAAGAAAAAACAGGCATTTCTAGGTCCCACAAAGCCTGCATTGGAACTCTTTGTCCCGAGAGTCTACAACCGTTACGCCAGAGCCGCAAACAACTGTTCTCTTAAGACCTCGAGAGCCTCCGCTCTACACACCTATACCAGTATACACCATGCATACATCCATGCATTTTTGTGGGACTTCATAGGTTCAAATATATTAATTATTTTATACATATTGCAACTATCCCCACAACAATAGTATAAAAGCCTGATGCAGGGCTGCTGCATAATAGGTCACGTCGTACTCGCCTTAGCCATACATGAAACTTTTGCCTCCCTTCCTCTACACAAAGGACGATTTGTTAGCGACGACAACAAATAGATAAATAAATAAAATAAGTGAATTAATTAATTGAATAAATAAATAAATAAAATACATAAAGGGAAAAAAAGCCACATTCCTCCTATTGCTGCTGTTCCTGCTATTGCTGTAGTTGCTGCTGTTGCTGCAGTCTTTCCTTTTAATATTGCATGCGTCCTCCTACCGCCTCTGTAGCGCTAAACCCTAAACCCTAAACCCTCACGAAGGGGCGAGTGGCATACTTCCAAACCCTACCTACAACTTATTTAACATCAGGGATTAGGGTTTAGGGTTTATGCATATATACCGCAGCAACCGCTGCTGCAGCTGCTGCTGCTACTTCTGTTGCTGCTGCTGCTGCTACTGCTGCTACTGCTGCTGCTGCTACTTCTGCTGCTGCTGCTGCTACTGCTGCTACTGTTGTTGCGGGTACAGGAGCAAGAAGAGACAGTGTAAGCGGCTGACGAAAAGAGACACTATATAAATAAAGGGATAAATAAGTGTCTCCTTTTATATTTAGTATATATACAAATATGTAAATATTATATATTTATATTGTAATTATATAAATAAATAAATAAATAAATAAATAAATAAAATAAATAAATAAATAAATAAAATAAATATATAAATAAGGGAGCAAAAAAACAAATCAATTGAGAAATAAGTAAATAAATAAAAAGGAAATAAATAACAAAACAAATAATGAATAAATAAATGAATAAATAAATAACTAAATAAATAAATAACTAAATAAATAAATAACTAAATAAATATAAACAAGAAATAAATACATAAATAAATCAATAAGCCAACAAACATATAATAAATAGATACGTAGATAAATAAATAAATAAATTTAATAATAAATAATAAATAAATAATAAATAGGTAAATATATAATTACGCATAATATGTAAATATTAATAATAAATATATAAATAAATAAATAATAATAAATAGGTAAATAAACAATTACACGCAGAAACAGACAAAACAAATAAATACTTTTTTATTTATTTTTTATCTATTATTTGCCTATATATTATTTATTTATTTGTAATATATAATATATAATAATAGATAAATAAATAAATAAGTAAAAAAGAATAAAAATAAATAAATAAATAAAGGAATAAATTAACGAATCAATATATAAATACATACATAAATATATAAATAAATAAACAAATAAATAAATATATAAATATATACAAATAGATAAATAAATACATAAATAAGCAAATGTACAAATAAATAAATAAATAAATAAGTAAATAAATAAGACAAATATATAAATATACAAATAAATAAACAAGGCAAATAAATAAGCAAATAAATAAATAAAAAATAAATAGTAAACGAATGATTAAATAACTAAATAAATATATAAATAAATACATAAATAAATAAACAATAAATGCATACATACATACAGATATATAAACAGACAAATAAATAAATAAACATAAATAAAAAATATAAAAATACATATACAAATAAATAAATAAAATAAATAAATAAATAAAATAAATATTTTATGTGTATTATATTCCCATCTATACTTATATCTGTATATTTTATATAAATAAATAGCTGCCTATACACCCTAAATAAATAATAAATAAAATAAATAAATAAGGTGTCTCCTTATTATATTATAAATATTAATAGCAGCAGTTGTCTCCTAATGAGTCTCCTCATGACTCATTATAATAATTAAAAGTTTGCTGCTGCTGCTGCAGCAGTAGTAACTGCAGCAGCAGCAACTGCAGCAAGCAGCAGCAGACAAGAAATATAAATATTCTTGCTGCTGCTGCCGCTGCTGCTATTGTTGCAGCAGCATATATATATACATATACATATATATAAACGTATATACATAAATATATACATATACATATATATATACACGCCCTGTCCTTATTAATTTGTCTCCTTTGTCTCCTATCTCCTCCCTTCCCTCCTGTTTATCCTTTATGATTGTTGCTGCTGCTGTTGCTGTTGCTGCTGCTCTTTAGCAGCAGCAATATTTTTTGTTGCTGTGTCTTGTATTTGTTGCAATATATTCCTCATTCGTGTCTTTGCTTCTTTCCTGTATTTTCTTTTATTTAATTTATTTATTTCTTTGTGTCTTTGCAAGACACAATACTTTCTATTTTCTTTTTGTTTTCCCCCTTGCTGCTGCTGCTGCTGCTGCTGCTGCTGCTGCTGCAGTGCTGCATTCCTTTTTAAATTAGCAGCAGCAGGATTAACCCTACATAATACAGATCTATTAGTTAATAGATTTTTCTTTATTTGTTGCTGTCTCCTTATATAAAAAGGAGACACTTTCTTACTAGGCCTAATAGTACATTGTACCTCATTACTATTTATTATTCTCCCTATATCTGCATTATATAATAAGGGTCTAGGTAATGTATATCCTTTCTTAGTAGAGGAAGGAGACACCTTAACAAGACAAGAGGAGACACCTCCTGCTGCTGTTGCATCTCCTGCTGCTGCTGCTGCTGCACCTCCTGCTGCTGCAGAAGGGGAGGAGGAGACAGTTAGGGAACCAAATAAACTATTTAATGACCTAAATGCCCCTTCTGTCCATACAATTAATCTGCCTAATACACCACCAGGAGCAAGAAGAAGAAGATTTAATTTATTTATACAACAAGTATCTATATTATATATATTATTTATAGATGTACATACACCATAATTATTTTTATATATAATTAATGGTCCTTTTTTACATATATATTTTCTTCCCCTATATTTACTTTTTCCTTTTTTTATTTTTTTATTAATTATATATTTATTTATATCTTGTATACACCCCAATTTATTAAGAAAGGAGACAGTCTCCTTTGTTTTTTTATATTCCTCTATCTTATCAGTAACAACAAGAGGTAATTCCTTAACATAATCAATAATATGTCCTTTTGCTGCAACAATAGGAGGTACAGCAGCAGCAGCAACAGCAGCAGCAATTGCATGCCTTTTTATACATACATTTACTCTTCTATGCCATCGTCTATACACCTTAGTAGGCGCAAACATGCCACCACCCCTACACATATTAGCAAAGGATGCCTGCCCGCTCCTGTGTGTCCCTCCTCCCTTGACCCTAGGGACACGGGAGACAGCTCGTCCTGTACCCCACGACTCAGCACTAGATTTATATCCAGCATAAGGGGATACAGCATAACTTTGTCTCTTATTTTTTATTATATTATTATATACAAAACGAACTAAATCAGGACGAAGAGGGGAAGAAAATACTGCAGGAAGAAGTATAGATGATGATGGAGGAAGACGCTCCCCTTCTGGTGTATATACACCCACTAATGGACGTGTTGCTGACATCTTCTATCTCCTGCTGCTCCTGATCCTGCTGCTGCTCCTTATATATGGTTATAGGGACTTGCTGCAACACACACAAATATACACACAATAAATATATATGTATATATATATATATATATGTATACTTTATTCTGTATATATGCATGTATATATATATTATATATTATTGTGTTGCTGCTGTTCCTGCTGCTGCTGCTGTTGCTGTTGCTGTTGCTGTTGCTGTTTGTGCTGTTTATTGTTGTGGTAAATAAAAAGAAAAGAATAAATAAATATAAATTTATATAAATAAAAGAAACAAACCCCACGTATACACACACGACACCCCGCAACAGCAGCAGCAGCAACAGCAGCAACAGCAGCAACAGCAGCAGCAACAACAGCAAATGAAAGAAGAAAGCACCTTCATAAAAAGAACAAGATATATAAAATATATATACAAACATATGCAACAAAATATACATCCTGCTGCTGCTGCTGCTGCTGCTGCTGCTCATCTCTCTCTCTCTCACTCCCCACGGCAACCAACAGCAGCAGCAGCAGCAGCAACAGCAGCAACAGCAGCAACACGAGCAGCAGCAGACACCCAATTAAGATTATAGCAGCAAAATACATACCTTATAAAGCAGATTCCCTTCTTTATTTAAATGACGACATAAAGTGCGTCCTGCTGCTGCTGCTGCTGCTGTTGCTGTTGCCGCTGCTGCCGCTGCTGCTGCTGCCGCTGCTGATCATATGTGCTGCGGCTGCGGCTGCGGGTGGTGGGAGCCCCGCAAGGGGCTTGATGCAGCAGCAGTCCCACGGCTGCTGCTGCTGCTGCTGCTGCTGCTGCTGCTGCTGCTGCGCTGCTGTTGCCGCGCTGCTGCTGCGCTGCTGCTGCGACTCCTGCGACTGCTGCTGCGACTGCTGCTGCTGCTGCTGCTGCTGCTGCTGCTCACGTGGATACGAAGGATCCCACAGGCCACGCGCATATATTATTGCTGAGGTGTATACGCAGGTTGTTTTTTTTTTTGTCTTTTTTTTTACATTTCTTTGTTAACTTCTTAATTACTTTTTATTTTCTGCTTTTGCTGCTTCTGTTGCTGCTGCTCCTGCTGCAGTTGCTGCTGCTGCATTTTGCTGCTGCTGCTGCTGCTGCCGATCCTTCTCCACAGCAACTTGTAACAGCGGCTCGAATAGACTCGCTATAACAGCAGCAGCAGCAGCAGCAACAGCAACAGCAGAAAGTTTAACAAAGTATAAACAATTCCTGCTGGTTTCTGTTCTTTTTAGCAGCATATTCTGCTGCAGTTGCTGCAGTTCCTGCAGTTGCTGCTGCTGCTGCTGCTGCGGTGATTTGTAACTCAATCGTCTAGAGAGATGCGCTGCTGCTTGCTGCTGATAGGTGTTGCTGCTGCTGCGGGGTGTGGAGTCCCCCCTGCAGCAGCAGCAGCAGCATCATCACCATCACAATCCTTCGAAAAGCAGCAACAGCAACAGCAACAGCAGCAGCAGCAGCAGCAGCAGCAGCTGTTGCTACAGGAGCAGCTTGCTGCTGTAGATGACATATCCTTTGATGAATTTCTTGCTGCAGGAGGAAATCTTGGTGAGGATGTATCGCCCTTCGATAGCAGCAGCAGCAACGGTGCTGCTGCTGCTGCTGCTGCAGCAGGCAGCAACAACGACAGCAGCAGCAACGGGAATGAAGAAAAAGGAGGATGGAGTTTTAGCAGCATAGTTGCTGCAGCAGAAGCAGCAGGAAAGGTATTAACAGAGTCATTGTTGGGTATAGGAGGAGAGCAGCAGCAGCAGCAGTATGATGATGAGCAGCAGCTGCTGCTGCCAGATGAGCTACTGCAGCAAGAGCTGCTAAGGGAGCTGCAGCAAGAAGAGGAGGATGAGCGGCAGCAGCAATATCCTGGTGTACATACACCTGTAGATATAGGGGAATTATCATCAGCAGCAACAGCAAGTGCGGCAGCAGCAGTTGCTGCAGCAGGAGAGCAGACACAGAAGCTAGCAGCAACAGTAGCAGCAGCAAGTATGCAAGCACAGCAGCAACTGCAGCAATTATATGATGGTGCTATTAAGCAGGCACAAAAGATAGCAGCAGCAGCAGCATCAACAACAGCAGCAAAAGATCTGCAGCACGTGCTGCTGCTGCTGCAGAGAGGAGACAGATTGTCTCTTGATGATGCTGCTGTTCGTCGTTGTGCTCATGGCCTCTTTTCTCTACTTGCTGTTGCTGCAGCAGCAGCTGCTGCTGCTGCTAGTAATAATAATAATAATACTATTGGTAGCGGTAGTGGTGCAGCAGCTGCTGCTGCTGCTGCAGGAGCAGCAGCAGCAGAAAGGAAGCCGCTGCAGTTCTTCCTTGATGTGCTGCGAGAGTTCACCAGCAGCAGCAACAGCAGCAGCAGCAGCAGCAAGAGCAGCAGCAAGAGCAGCAGAAGAAGACATAGAAGAAAAGCAGCAAAACGACAAAATCAAGATGTGCTGCAGCTGCTGCAGCAGCTGCTGCTTGGTGACAACAGTGGGGAGGAGCAGCAGCAGCAGCAGGAACAGCTGCAGCAACAGCAGCAGCTGCAGCAAGACAACGAACAAATGTTTGCTGCTCTTCTTGATGCTGCTGCTAAGGAAAAGGGAAAGGATGCCTTGTTAGAGCAGCAGCGGCTGCAGCTGCAGCAGCAGCAGCAGCTACTTGATGCTATGCAGCAGCAAATTGCCTTGCTGCAGCAGAAGCAGCAGAAGTAGCAGTAGCAGCAAAATGCAGCGCTGCTGCAGGGGGATAACTAATTATTTGTAAATCAGCAGGATGTACATGCAGCTCTTTCTTGCTGCTGCAGCAGCAACAGCAGCAGCAGCAGCAACAGCAGCAGCAGCAGCAGCAGCAGCAAGAGCAGCAGCCTCAGCAGCAATTGTGTAGCAAGATGTGTCTACATATATGAATAGTTAGCTAGCTAAGTAGCTAGCTAGCTAAATGCATGCAGTGTATTGGCTAGCTAGCTAGCTAGCTAGCTAGCCATCTGGCTAGCTAATGGCTTATTGACTAGCTAGCTAGCTAAGTAGCTGGCTAGCTATATTTTAATTTATTGACAAACTAGCTAGCAAATTGGCTAGCTAGCTATATATATTTATTTATTTATTGGCTAGCTAGCTAAGTAGCTAGCTAACTAACTAAATAGCTAGCTATCTAGCTAGCTAGCTGGGGGAATATACCCTACTCAGCGCGGCACCTCCTGGCTAGCTAGCTAGCTAGCTACCTGTGTGTGGCTAGCTAGCTAGCTAGCTAGCTAGCTGGCTATCTGTTTGTGGCTAGCTAACTAGCTAGCTAGCAAGCCAGTGGGGTGTGAGCTGCGCGACTCCCTGAGCAGTTTGTTTAACAGCAGCAGCAGCAGCAGCAGCCGTTGCTGCTGCTGTTGCTGCTGCTGGCTGTGCTACTAAACCTGCCATCAAATTATGTTCAACAAATAAACCCCTCCGCTGCTGCTACAGCTGCTGCTGCAGCAGCAGCTGCAGCAGCAGCAGCAGTTCCTGCGCCCTCGTGGGCTCGCCGCATAGGCAGCGAACGTTGCATGCAGCAGCAGCAGCAGTTGCTGCTGCTGCTGCTGCAGAACTAAATATCTAGTAGCAGTTTCTCTAGAGACCATACCCATGAGGAGGTGGCCTCCTCCTCATCTGCTGCTGCTGCTGCTGTTTGCCTATCTTGCTGCTGCTGCTGCTGCAGTGCAGCAGCATCTGCTGCTGCTAAAGCTGTCTCTGCACTAACATTCCCCCAGCAGCAGCAGAAGCCTTGTGGCTGCTGCTGCTTCACACGCAAAAATTTGCTGCGCTGCTGCTGTTGCTGCTGCTGCTGCTGCTGCTGCTGCTGCTGTGGGGTGCGGATACGGATGAGTTCTACCAGTAAACTCTTGTGGCACTGAGGGCACTCCTTTACAAACTCCCGCAGCACTTGCTGCTGCTGCTGCTGGCTGCTGCTGTGGTCTGCTGCCTCTGTGCTGTAGTGACTGGCGCTGCATGCGAAGGCCCTACTGCTGCTGCGACTGCTGCAGTGGTGTAGCAACCTGCTGCTGCTGCAGCTGCTTAACGAGCAGCAGCAACCAGACTGTGGAGGCCAACGACCCAATCTGCTGCTGCTGCTGCTTCTGCTGCTCATGGCATCTGCATTATCTAAGGAATGACTGCAGCAGCAGCTGCTGCTGCTGCTGCTGCAACTGCTGCTGTCGCAGCAGCTGTTGCTGCAGCTGCAGCAGTTCGTTGGAGATGGACTGCAGCACCTCTTATAACTCGCCTCCTGCTGCCGCTGCTGCTGCTGCTGCAGCTGCTGCTGCAGCTCATGGTTGCAGCAGCGTCTACTGCTGCTGCAGCTGTCCTGCCGCAGCAGCAGCACGTCATCAGGAGGAGGTGTGGGGCCGCAGCAGCAAGTTGCTGCGCTCGTGCTGCTGCAGGGACTACCCCAGGAGGACGTCTCCCAATGGTGATTTAGCATAGATAGTGTCTCCTGCTGCTGCTGTTGCTGCTGCTGTTGCTGCTGCTGCTGCCTACTGTGACGGAGGAAACGCCTGTGCTGCTCCTCCTGATCTTCTTCTGATTGCTGCAGCAGAAAGAGAGATGGAGAAATGCTGCTGCTGCTGTTGCTGCTGCTGTTGCTGCTGCTGCTCCCCCGTCTTACTCTCGATAGGCGGCTGTCGTCACCAGATATGTCGCTGCTGCTGCTGCAGCTGCTGCTGCTGCAGTCTGCATGCACACCTCCAGCACGTGCAGCAGCTGCTGCTGCAGCAGCAGCAGACCGCTGCTGATTTTCTTGCTGCAACTCCTGCAGCCGCATGCGCAGCTTCTGCTCCTCCGTACGCAGCCGTTCCTGCTGCTGCTGCAGAAGCTGCTGCTGCAGCAGCAGGGGCTGCTTATTTTGCTGCAGCAGGAACAGCTGCTGCTGCTGCAGCAGCAAACGGTGTGGGACTCCTTCACACTGTCCCTGATACATTCCTGGTAATATGCCTTGCTGCTGCTCCTGATGCTGCTGCTCCTGCTGCTCCTGCTGCTGCAGCCCCTGGGGCAGCTCTTGCTGCAGTTCTTGCTGCGGCTCCTGCTGCAGTACATGCTGGACATTTGCACAGCTTCCTGGATCCAAGCTGCTGCTGCTGCTGCTGTTGTTGTTGTTGTTGTTGTCTGAGGGAGCAGCAGCAGCTGGTGTCTGTCCTAGTGGATTGGATGCTGGGGTTTCTGTATCCATAGACAAAGTCAGCATATCCTCTGCAGCAACAGCTGCTGCTGCTGCTACTGCAGCTGCAGGTGCTGCTCCTGCTGCTGCTGTTGTCGGCATAGTTGGTGGTGCAACCGTCGTTGCTGCAGCAGCAGCGTGTGCTGCTGCATCTGGAGCAACGGCAATAGCGGATGTTGCTGCATTATCGGTTGTAGCAGCAGCAGCTTCTGCTGCTGCAGCAGCAGGATCTAAGGCCGAGGGTACTTCACATTTGAGCTGCTGCTGCTGCTGCTGCAGAGCTGCTGACCTCTCATTCGCTGTTGCAGCAGCAGCAGCAGCAGCAAGAGCGTCTGCTGCTGCAGCGGGTTGATCAGAAGAGGCTTCTGTCATCCATAAGAGGTTTCACAGGGGCAGAGGGCGCCATCTGCTGCAGCAGCAGACGCTGCTGCTGCTGTTGTTGCTGCTGCAGCTGCAGCAAAACTGCCGTTGTTGTACGTTGTTGCTGCTGCTGCAGCAGACTACGGCTACATGAATCCCCCACGTTCCACAATATTATACATGAGTGTTGATTGTACGGCTTCTGCTGCTGTTTATGGTGCTCCTGCTGCTCCCTTGACTGTCGTTGCGCCTCCTGCTGCTCCTGCTGCTGCGCGCTGCCTCGAGCAGCAGCAGCAGCAGCAGCAGCAATATAGAAGGTCTTGCTGCGTTTGCTGCAGAAAAAAATGTCCCAAAAAACCCGTGTTGTTGTCCTTTGTTGTTCTACGAAGGCACACCAGCAGCAGCAGCAGCATCTCCTGCTGCTGCCGCTGCTGCTGCTGCTGAAACACTGCCGAACTCAGCCCCAGGGGGCCCCCGAGCAGCTGCAGCAGCAGCAGCTGCTGCTGCTGCTGTTCCCTCCCCACCAATTATTAATATTTTGTAGACTGATCTAGTAGGCGTTACTCTGCCTGTGTTTTGCATTGTCTGCTGCTGCTGTTGCTGCTGCTTCTGCTGTTGAGCAGCAGCAACGTGGCCGCACACCAACAGCAGCAGCAACAGAACAGCAGCAACAGCAGCAGCAGCATCAGCAGCAGCATCTACTGCAACACGTGGAGGGACAAGCTTCTGAATCACGATTCAGCGTGCAACACTGTGTAACACGTCACTTCTGCTGCTGCTGCTGTTGCTGCTGCTGCTGCAGCTGTGTACCAGCAATTCCTTCACCCGCCTAAGCGTCAGCAACAAAATCTTATAGTAAGCGGGAATGTTGTCATTGTACAGCCTTCAGTAGCAGCAACAGCAGCAGCAGCAGCAGCAACACCAGTAGGAAACAGCAGCAGCAGCAGCAACAGCAACAGCAGCAGCTACTGCTGTAGCAGTAATGCCGGCAGCAGGCATTACATATCCGCAGGTTGGACTATCTAAGGAAATGCATGCGCAAACAGGTATGATTGCATCACCTGCAGCAGCAGCAGCAAATGCTGCTGCTGCAGCAGCAGCAGCAGCAAACAACTTCCCAGCAGCAACTGGCGTAACAGCAACAACATCCCTCCCAGCAGCTATGCAGGCAGCAGCAGCAGCAGCAACTCACAAAAGAATGGCAATAGGAACAGCCACAGCAACAACACCTACAGCAGCAGCAACACCAACAGCAGCAGCAACACCAACAGCAGCAGCAACTCCAACAGCAGCAGCCACAGATGCAGCAGCAGCAGCAGCAGCAGCACCAAAGGTGTCTGTGGTTACAACTGAAGGTCTTGAGCGGTTGCTCAAGCGTCTACACCCAAATGCGTCTGCATCTCCGCAGTGTCTGGAGGTAAACCCTAAACCCTAAACCCTAAACCCTAATAAACCCTTGTTTAGTCAATGAGGATTAGTGTTGCATGGATATCTACAGCAAGATCTGATTATCTAGGGTTTATATACATTCAATTATTTTCAATATATAAGTATTTAGTATATATAATATTAAGTGTTTAGGGTTTAGGGTTTAGGGTTTGGGGTTTAGGGTTTAGGGTTTAGGGTTTAGGGTTTAGGGTTTATATATATAGGTGTTAGCCGAAATGGCAGAAGAATATGCCGAGCAATGCGGTCGGCTGTTGGCTCGATTGGCTCGTCGTTGGGGTTTAACAACAATTACAGCTAGAGATGCTAAGGCATTTATTGGTAAACCCTAAACCCTAAACCCTAAACCCTAGGGCATCAATAAACCCTAGGGTATACATCCTAGGCTATAAATAATAAACCCTAGGAGGCAGGGTGTGCAGGCAGCAGCAAGGAAGGGAGGAAGGCAACCGTGTCTTGGGTAGCTGGGGGACTTTTCTGTTTAGGGTTTAGCTAGTTATGATGGATCTAGGGTTTAGGGTTTAGGGTTTAGGGTTTAGGGTTTAGGGCTTGTATGCAGATCGAATGAATGGTTCCCCTGGTTGGAAGTCTATGGAAGGCGCATCAGCAGCAGCAGCAGCAGGAGCAGCACCCAAGGGCATTCTTGCTGCAGCAAGGCAGCAGAGGCAGCTACTTGCTGCATATGTGCGTGAAGCAGAAGCAGCAGCAGCAGCCGAGGCAGCAGCAGCAGCAGCAGCAGAATCGCCACTCAGCAGCAGCAGTAGCAGCAGCAGCAGCAGCAGCGGCAGCAGCAGCAGCATTAGTCCTCAGACAGATGGCTCTTCAAAGACAGCAAGAGTAACGCCTGCTACTCCTGCATCCCCCCTCCACAGCAGCAGCAGCAGCAGCAGCAGCAGCACAGAGCAGACGCCACCAAGGCCACGGGTCCGTTTCTCACAGGATAAAGCTGCTGTTGCAGCAGCTACTGCAGAGGTAGCAGCAACAGCAGCAGCAGTTACAGCAGCTGCTGCTGCAACACCACCACCAGCATTACCAGCAGCAGCAGCAACAGCAGCAACAGCAGCAGCAGCAGCAGCAGCAGCAGCACGACCAGGAGGCATTGGTTCCCCTCCGTCGCAGCAAACACCATTTCACACACCTCAGCCGCAACCCGACTTGGCAGCAACTGCAGCAGCACCTGCAGCAGCAACAGCAGCAGCACCTGTAGCAGCAGCAACAGCAACTGCAGCAGCAGCAGCAGCAGCAGCAGCAGCAGGCAGCTTAGCTACTCCTATAAAGGCGAGTCCTCCCCCTCAAGAAGGAAAAGGAGAAAGGCATACAACATTCAAAATAAACCCCCAGCTAGCCAACCAACTGCCCAGCTAGCTGGCTAGCCAGCTAGCCAGCTAGCTAGCTAGCTAGCTAGTTGCTCAATTAAATGGCTAGCTAGCTACTCAGCTAGCTAATTGGCTGCTCAGCTAGGGACCTAGCTACACGGCTAGCTAGCTGTGTACTCAGCTAGCTAGCTAGCTAATGAGCTACCTAGTTAAAGGCTCAGCTACCTAGTTATCCACTTGGCTAGTTGGCTAGCTAGCCAATCAGCTGGCCAGCTAGCTAGCCAGCCACCTAGCTAGCTGTCTAGCTGGTCAGCTAGCTAGCTAGCTAGCTAACCTGTGCAGCGGACAGCCAACGTTGCTGCTCGTTTGCTTTCCCTCCGCCATACAATTCCCTTCAATGAATAAAGCTTTTTTAGTTACAAATGCAGCAGCAGCAGCTGCTGCTGCTGCTTCTGCTGCTGCAACAGAAGCAGCAGCGGCTGCTGCAGCAGAAGCAGCAACAGATGCAGGAGCAGCAGCTGCTGCTGCTGTGCCTTAATGTTCATAGACACTCTGATCCTGCATTGTACTGCTGCTGCTGCTACAGTTGCTGTTGCTGCTGCTAATCAACTTGCTGCTGCTGTTGCTGCTGCTGCTAGCAGCAGCATCAGCTAGGGCCCCTCGAGCTAAACCCTCACAGTGTAAACCCTAGCAGTAAACCCTACAGCAAACCCTAGACCCTCGAGGCCAACGCTGTGTTTGTCTTCAAGCGGTTGCAAACCCTCGAGGGTTTAGGGTTTAGTGCCGCATGCTGCTGCACAGCAGCAGAGGAGGTGACAAGAGTAGCAGCAGCAGAGGAGACACGAGCAGCAGCAGCACAGGAAACAAATGCAGCAAGACAGAAGCTATCTTGCCTTCTGCGCCTTGTTACGCTCCACCTGAGACACAGCAGCAGCAGCAGCAGCAACAGCAGCAGATGCAACACAGCTCCCCAGCACGCAGCAGCAGAAGCAGCAGCAGCAACAGCAACAGCAGCAGCAACAGCAGCAGGAGCAGCTTACAGCAGTGAATCTCCCTCCTCCTCCGAAGTAATCCCTGGATTCGCTTTGCTGCTGCTGCTGCTGCTGCTGCTGCTGCTCAGCAAGAGGGTTACATAACTCTAATCCTTGTAGAGGAGTAAAACTTAATGAGGAAGAATAACCTGTACTTGTTGCTGTTCCTGCTGTTGCTGCTGTTGCTGCTGTTGCTGCAGATACACCCGAAGCTATTCCTTTAGGACGCAGCTGCTGCATGCGACGAGCACCTACAGACACATGCATGCATGCATAGAAAAGAAACAAACTCCTGCTGCTGCTGCTGCTGCTGCTGCTGCTGCTGCTGCTGCTATAGAGGTCGCATAGTGTACAGCAGAGAGCCCTTATAGTTGTACTGAGGGTTTCTAGGGTTTACAGCCCTCTAGGGTTTATGTATAACTCGTTCCATAGAAATTAGGGTTTAGGGTTTAGGGTTTAGGGTTTAGGGTTTACTGAGTTGTGCTTTCTTTTGTTGTTTTGCCTGAAGTTTAAGACGACCATTCGCAATGCTGCGGCCCAACATCCCTAACCCTTTTGCTGTACATAAGGCACAAACAAAATTAGGGTTTAGGGTTTAGGGTTTAGGGTTTAGGGTTTATAGGATCAATTCTCTGCATTTTTTTGTTTAATAAATAATACTAAATAAAATAATAAAGCAAAATATAATAAA